ACAATCTACACAGCTAAACATCTGGGTATCAATCATGAAACTTTATCCCTAGGATAGAAAGTGAAAAAGTGAAAAATTTCTCCATTAATTTCAAAAAATTTTTACTTTTCACTTTTCCTAGGGATAAAGTTCCCTGGGAAACAATTCTGAAAATCAATACTGTATCTTAAAGCAAGGTGAAATTACAGAAGTGAGCAAATTTACTAGGTGTTGACCAATTAAATTATTAGTATTCTAGTAAATTCGTTCACATTTGTAATTTTCACCTCGTTTCAAGATACAGAATCGATTCCCTGTACTCAGTCGAAGGCTGTGTAAGCTTGTGTTTTCTAGTGACAATTACATGTTACTAAAATCTGCGACGGCTATAAATGAGGTTTGAAAACGTTGAATGATCGGCACTTTTACTTTTTTTTATTTAATACAGGCAGAAAAAACTACATTTAATCTAACTCTATCCGAAACAGATCTCAATCATGCACAGTGTACACATTTTGTTCCAATTGAATTGTGATATGCACAATGATATACTTTGTGTATCCCTGTGTATCCCTGTGTTGAGATATGTTAGGCAATTGGAAAGCACCCATAGTTATACTGTAGAAATAAGTTGAAGTGGAACAAATATATTTGTTTCACTTTAACTTACTGCACTGTGTATACCAGTTTAGAAAGTGCAGCAATCAAAAACAGACCGCTTAACTGTATTACAAATTTGCATACAAATATCATAGCCCGTGTTTAGAACGCGCTTTTATCTCTAAAATTCTATAGTATGCGTAACGTAAATTATAGCATGTTAGCGCGCTAACATCGCTAAGAGCGTTCTAAATACGGACCCATAACTTTGTAATTTTAAAAGATATTATAAGATAAATATTACACACGCACAAGACAAAATTCACTAAATTAACTTGTTTCAATTTTCAATTTTGTTTATTAAAATTTAACAACTTTTATTTACATATGTAAAAGATGCGAAATTAAATTTTTTTTGTTCAAATTAAACTATTCTTCTTATAAATGGTCGGCACGCTTCTATCCTGAGGATTTAGTATAGAAACGAACCACATCTACTTTCGACGATACGATTTTATCGATAGTGTCAGAAAATGTATGTAGTCACATAGTTCCCAAACTAAAAATGGATATACTGGCGGTAGTGTATGGACGATTTTGATGGTAACAGGAAAAAAGTACGGCCTCTCTCAAGTTTCTCTCTGGTAATATATAAATATACGTATAATAGTATGTGTATATACGCATGCGTATTTATATATACCTATATATATATAAATATATATATGCATATTATGTATGAACTACACACATGCATATGGGTATGTAGCAATAGTGAGTGGTTGCGAGTAGCGAGTGGTAGTAGTGATTAATAGTTGACTGTGGTTTTCTACTGTTGGTTTGTTAATCAAAGTCAACTAATAAAATTGTTTTTTGCAGTAAACACTTGTACACGTTAGTAATAATTGAATAAATATATAAGAATTTCACAAAAACGTTTGTAATCCCGAAAATAAACAAAACTTTAGATATAATGCCGTTGGCAACTCTAACGGCTCCTTGGACGGAGCATCGTACAAATGAAAAGGTAAAACTCAATTTCTCAACATTCTTGAGTCGTAATATTCGTGGGTTGTAATTTTTTTTTGAAATAGCGAATTCCAAAC